GTCGGTTGCAAGTAATATTTATATATACAGTAGTAGATACATTTAAAATACGATTTCTATATTTCTGGAAAAATTTCCTAAAGGTTGTGTTCATTTATTTAAAGGGATTTGAAGATAGCGATGAATCGCACAAATATTTTAAAGAACTTCTACGTGATATTTTCTGTTTACACTTTGCACAAAAAATGGCTGAAGAGAAGATTTCTCTGTACATTCTTTATACTTTGTAATGAATTTTTACTGATTTAGATGTCATTTTTTTCTCATCTTACTTTTAATGAAATTATTTTTTAAATATACTTCGTTCTTTTCAATATTTCATGCCATTTTGAATATTTATAGATAATAAATATTGCACTAAATATTTCAGTTACTTTACTTTGGTTCACCCAATAAAAATAATACCAAATATTATTTGTTTACAGCAGACTTGACAGAATGAGATTTTGCCATCGATAGTAAAATACCTGGAAAAGTCCTCTTGCTCGACTTTTCGGCAGTAGAACAGGAAGCTAATGTGACCATTAGTATGTCCGATTATCTTCAATTACACTAGGATATAAAATTTAAATAAGAAAAGTTTAAGAGGAATAATTTTGTTCAATTATGATAAAAATTTCCTTTTAAAGAAAAACATTTAAGTTTAATTAAAACACACTATGACACTAGCTCAAAGTTAGAATTGTGTTTGGCGTCGTCTGCTACGAAATTTTATTTAAAAAATAACTTTTATATTATTAATTTTTATAAAATGGCTTAATCACTACACCACCTTGAGACATTAAACGAAATAAACGCCAACAGACATATATATATGCTGTATATATATATATATATACACACACAGACACATCGGTCCCGGGAAGTTTTTCCCTGTTTTTGACTATTTTCGGGGGTTAAGGGCATCTAAAAACGTCGATATTTTCAAATCAACTAAATACGAACAAAATATTAATCACTAAATATACTTAATTACAATTTAAAAGGCGCAAAACTTTGTTGGAAGTAAAGATTCAATATAAAACTGAAAATGCTTATTTGTATTGTTTTTAAAATTAATTCTTTTCTAATCAATCATAGAAAAAAAAATAGTTTTCAAATTAAAGTTTCAAATTGTTTACAGTCGAACGTACTGGCCAATTATAAGCGTAAATTCAATTTACCAACTTTAAGTGGGCCGGTGTCCAAGAAAAACAGTTAACCGTTGATAATAGAATCACAGTAAACATTTTGAGAAAATATATCAACAAGTATCGCCATCTGGTCACGAATATAAGTACTAAATTCTAAAGTACGAGTCTTTTTCTACAATACGCTTTTATTATATTAAAATTTCTTTTTTTTTTCATGTTCCATGATCTTTTATTAACTGTAACATAATTATAAAATTTTTACCATAATTTGCACACAGATTCCAATAATAAATTTGAGTGTAATTAATTTATCTTATTTTTCATTGTTTTTAAAATAGTTTAATGATGTAAAAAACTGGTTATTTTAGTGTTTTTTTCGCTCCATAACTGGTTTATTTCGAACAAACAAAGATGGCAACACTTGGTAGTAGCTCGTTCGCATGACTCTAATTTCGAGCGTTTCGGAGTTCGAACTGTGCGCACGCAGCGAAAAAAAAAAATGTGCTGGTGGCGAAAACTGAATCTGTTATGCGCCCAAATCATCACTCGCTCTTGTCTAAAAATGTCTGATTAGAACAGGGAAGAATAAACAAGAACAGTACTGTACATGTGGCCAATTTATAAATACCCTTTCAAATTTACTGGAAAAATAATTTTGTAAAATGCTTTTTCTAACCTTTAAAGCGTGTTTTTTGAAAAATAAATTACGATTCGATACAAGCATTTTTAACTCTAAGTGCCTTTGATATCTATTGTCAACACATTACAGTAAGTGATGATTTATCACTTGCTGTAATGAATCGTATTACTATTTTTTCCATGGTAAGCGATGAAAGTAGTGCAGATTACATTTAATGGTTATTTTACGAAATCTCGTTTGACCGGACACCTTTCTATAACGGACATTTCTTTTTTCTTTTCGATCTCACCGCTTTATCAGCAACCTGCCCTTTAGAAATAGGTGATCAGCTATTGTAAAAAGTACGTATTTTTCCACTGTTAATTTGAATTTTTCTATTAAAATATTAAAAGATATTATGCGAAATTGAAAAATTGCATTTATAATTTGCTATAAATAATTATTTTATAGAATTCGTGTGCATGGTTTATCTAATAAACACTATATTTACTAAGTCTGCACGTGTGGATCGTATAATTCTCTCCGCTCGCCCATAGTCTTAACATTGTAAACTTTGACCTCGTATACCTCCAGTCACAGGTCAAATTTTAAAATGGTGTTTGCGTCATGACCTAAACCGAGATGGATTGTATTTGTATTTAAAAAAACACAATGATTTATATAGTTAATGGGTCATCGCTGAGAGCTCCGCTCAAAAAAATCACAACACAGGAAGATGAAGTTAGAAATTGAGGATCAATGATAACTTTTATAGTAGGGTGCAAACTTTAAGAATTAATTCTCATAAAATTAATTATGTTTATTAATTGTAGTGAGAAATGTGGCTAAAATTTTTGGTGGTTGCGGCATTACAAAGCTGTTCCAGATGACCCACTGTAATTGGATATATCAGGGTCACCGCACCCTACAGAATACTTGTTTTTGAAAAATATGCGACTCTTGTATAAGTTTTTAAAATGTATTTTACAATTCTTATAAAAGAACAAGAATAATATTATAATATTTAATAGTTATACAGTAGACAGACAGACGTATATAGAAGGGTTGCATGACGCTTCGGACGTAGAGGGACCTCAAAAATTTCATCTTTGATGTAAAAATAGTAGGATAAGGAAGCAATATAAGATAATATTTCTTTTATAAATGATATAAAAGGTGTTTTTATTGGTTATATTCGTATAATTTTATGGCTTTCGGAAAGAGGTGGCACCCAACATCTACACTGGTTTCGTTTCACCTCTCTCAAGCCTTAAATGTAAAGGCTGTTCGTGTTATGTACTATTTGAAGTATTATTATGTTAAAATTATTTAATGAATAGTTTATTTAAATTACTTTGACTGCAGTAAACATTTTAATTATATCCACTGAGAAAGATGAGATAGAGCCAAAGCCAGTCACAAATGTGAGTCACAATCTTCCTTTAAAATTTCTAAAAACATATGAATAAAAATGATTTCGTTTTTTATCATTTTATCAATAAAAATTTTAATTAAAATCACTTTAGTTTCGTGAGTTTTACATAGAATATTAAATTTTGAGTCTTAATGTTCATTGTTTCTCATAGAAATGGTCTTAATAATACCTTTACCAGGGCTGTGTATCCGATTGTTTAATCCACAGAGGAATTTCTGTAAGCTATTATAAACGGAGGTTTTTTAAATTACAATACAGTAAGAAAATATATTATCTTTTTTATATTATATAAAATTGTTAGAGAAAATTTATAGCATAAAGAACTCTGTCAGCTGGGAAACGTTACGTTATACATTAATTAATTATAATTTAGCCTAAATTCTAATTTTACTTAAATAAATATAGGCTACAGGGTGGCCCAAAAGTTTTTTAACCACTATAAAGTCTGAGTTTAGGTCTTATTTAATAATTTACAACTCTGCTTTGCAAAATTTATAAGAAATAAAATCGTTATGTAAATTGTTTGCCAGATTAGCATGGTTAACTCGTGTTTGAACCATCCTATATCTGCATTACTGATTTTATATATATTATACGAAGTAACGTTCCTTGTAAGAGTAGTTAAACCTTGAAGTGAAGGGCCCCGCAGATCAGGAGGACCTACGCTTGCTTGGATATACTTAAAAGTTTATGTTAATATTTTAAAATTACATATGTTATTATCAAATAAAATTTTCTCATGCAATAGAAAGCAGGGCTTTTATTCATCTTAGATTGGTGGAGACACCAAAAAAAAAAAAAAAACATTTTACAGAAGGCCCCAAAACTATAACTTTACTGGTGTTTTTTGAATGTATACGACACGTGCATAACTTTAGTTATCCAAGTACTGTACAGGGTGATTAGAATTAAACTGACGGTAATCGGACACGTGTGGAGATGGCTCTACTGAACCGAATCGAATGAAACGAGATACACTAGCTACGGGAAAGAAAAATAGTTGAAATTTTCGCCGCTAGAGGAAAATGTGGCGCTGAAAGGATGAAAATTATTAAACAAATAGAGAAAATTTTATTAGAAGGATAAAATTACTTTTTACACATTTATAATATATGCTTAATGCAGGATCCTTCTCTAACGACCACGTGTTTCAATCGTAAAAGTGTGTAATCAATTGCTGCACGTAACATTTCAGAAGGAATCTGGGAGACATGTCACCTAATTCTGGCTTTCAGCTCCGACACGGAGAGATACTCCTGATAAACACGATCTTTCAAATAACCCCACAGTCGGTAACACGTTGTCGACTGAACAGCGCCACATTTTCCCATGGTGGTGAAAGTTTTAACTAACTTTTCTCCCGCAAATCTCTTTCTCATAATCTGCCTTGCATGTGCACCGAGTTTCATTCGATTCGGATCCTTTTATATATTGTATTGATAGTTTAGGGCCTATACATCTAAGAAAAGGCATCACAGATCTCGTCTCTATCGTAATTATTTTTAAAACGTTTTTAAATAAATTATAGTTATACTTTTTGTTTATTATTCATAAACATACAGTATTACAATTGACTTCAGTTAGTACAAGAAATGCATTTAAATTTTATTTATTATCATAAAATGATATAATTAGAAAACATTTTACATTTTAAACACATGTAATTATCTAAAAACATTCATTTTCTAGTACAGAGAAAATGGTTAATAAGTCGAATAATAGATAATACCTTGAACTTACAACGAAGTATACAAAAATTAGATACAAAATGTCAACCTAATTCTTATATTTAATACATTAAAGGGGGGATATTTGTTTAAAGTTACTGATTCGAACACTTAACAGTTGGCCTATAAACTATACAATTTATACTTCTTACCCTTTTCTTGCTATCTGCTAAACAAAAGGTGCAGATTTTTCTTCCGAATGGTTGATTATTACTTATGGATATTCCGTACGTTCCGTATCTTTGGCAGGGTTGTTCTTCGTAGTCACCTCTTGCCTGACAGTATTTTAAGGTGGCCAAATGAGCGATGTAACTAGCCGCCAGTCTTAAAGTTTCGATCTTCGAAAGTTTTCTATCAGCGGGTTCAGTTGGTATCAAGGTTCTCAAAAGGGTAAAGGCTGTATTAACGCATCTGGTTCTATCTCTTTCTCTGGCATTTGCTGTTTGTCTCGGTTTTTCAGCACAGGTATATCTATTTCGTCCCCCCTGCGGTTTCTTCACATCCAAGAAGTATTGATAAGAGATGCAAGCTTGGTTAGAATGGTTGTCTGATAGATCGACTCTAGATCCAACTTCCATCTTACTCGTATAGTTAACTATTGCCGTTTAAGTCACGTTTTAGGTGTAGCTGAGGTAGTAAAGTGGATCCTGGTCCCATTACAGACAGGATACGGTAAGACCCGGAACACGTAATTAGCCAATTCTGACTCGTATTTAATATCTGATAGGGTATAAGAGAGCTGCAGTCTTGTAGAAAAAGTAATCCCGGCTACTCCTCAGCAGCTTACATCACTCAATGTAAACAAATATCGGGTTCTTTCGGGGCCGACCGTCCTGTTTGTTGATGGTAGTTTGTGGTCAGCTTTTGACAAATAGCTACAGGGGTTTTGTACAAAATGGGAAACGGAGGAGGAGTTATCCTATACAACTGCTAATAGCTACGTAAAGAATGTTTCTGACACGTAAGCCGAGTGCTATGTAATTCAACTACTTACCGGGGAGCAACTTTCAACAGTTAGTTTTTGCCTACTCTGTAGATCTAACAATAAGTTGGATCCACATAGTAGAAAATGGTTAACAATATATATAACATTTTTAATATATAACTTTTAATTTGTACTTTTGAATATATATTAATAGATGATAGTCAAAATGTCAGTTGACTAGATGGTAGCATAAAGAACTCTGTCAGCTGGGAAACGTTACGTTATACATTAATTAATTATAATTTAGCCTAAATTCTAATTTTACTTAAATAAATATAGGCTACAGGGTGGCCCAAAAGTTTTTTAACCACTATAAAGTCTGAGTTTAGGTCTTATTTAATAATTTACAACTCTGCTTTGCAAAATTTATAAGAAATAAAATCGTTATGTAAATTGTTTGCCAGATTAGCATGGTTAACTTGTGTTTGAACCATCCTATATCTGCATTACTGATTTTATATATATTATACGAAGTAACGTTCCTTGTAAGAGTAGTTAAACCTTGAAGTGAAGGGCCCCGCAGATCAGGAGGACCTACGCTTGCTTGGATATACTTAAAAGTTTATGTTAATATTTTAAAATTACATATGTTATTATCAAATAAAATTTTCTCATGCAATAGAAAGCAGGGCTTTTATTCATCTTAGATTGGTGGAGACACCAAAAAAANTAAATATATTCATTTGCATCAAAATTTTAGCCATTTAACAGTCAGATTTAAGTATACGAGTTCGTATACGAAAGAAAAGACCATACTGGGTAGTTTCTAACCAGTTCGAGAGCAATTGTCACACGTGATAAAAAATGAACTTTGTTGTCAGATCGGCAGTCGAGGAATGGTGTAATTCGATGCCAGAGGACCGTGATGTGGCCATTCGATGACATCTCTAGTCTTGTGTAAACAATGGACCGAAGATCTCTCCTCTTGAAAAATTGTCGAATGTCTGACGGTTGTCAGCGCTTCTCGATTATTGTTTCCGAAAAAAATAAAAGAGAAAAAAAAACGATCGAAAAATTAATTTTTTATTTCCTTTCTTACTTAAATCATTAACGAATTATATTTGATTGGCGTGTTTTAATTTATAAATCCGACCACCTGCTGTGTAATAAAGTGATGTAGTAGAGCGCGCGCAACGATCAAAAGTCAACTAGCTGCACGTGTGGATGGGCCACCGTCAGTCGGCCCGTCCAAGGACATAGGTGCCAAATTTCTCAATAACCGTTAACGTCTTTGACCTTCTACAAAAATTTCTGTAGTTAAAGAAGCTCTATTTATTACACCAGCTTTCTAAGTGATGCTTACCATTTATGTATAAAATATATTTCTTCTTGATATATTCTGCTTGATAGAACGGTTTCAATAATTATAGTAAATGAAAAAAAAAGGAATTTTATCAAGTTCACCAGGATACAACTATTGCTAGGAAATTCGTTACTCGTGAGTTACACGTAGCGATCTTTCTCATGCATTTCTGTGCCAATATTGTTACAATATAAATTACAATTGAATTAAAGTAGTAGTAATTTATAATTGTTTGCCAGATTAGCATGGTTAACTTGTGTTTGAACCATCCTATATCTGCATTACTGATTTTATATATATTATACGAAGCTCTGGTAACGTTCCTTGTAAGAGTAGTTAAACCTTGAAGTGAAGGGCCCCGCAGATCAGGAGGACCTACGCTTGCTTGGATATACTTAAAAGTTTATGTTAATATTTTAAAATTACATATGTTATTATCAAATAAAATTTTCTCATGCAATAGAAAGCAGGGCTTTTATTCATCTTAGATTGGTGGAGACACCAAAAAAAAAAAAAAAA